TGCACGGCAGTGTATTTTTCTTTAACGTATGACCTGAAAGCTCTAACCTTTCATTCGGTAACAGACACAGAGACACTCGACATTATGTACATAGAAGCCCTACGGCGTGATATTCTTATATTGCTAATACTCCATATAGCTTTACGGTCTTATAGCCTTACCGCTTGTAGTTTAACCCTCTTATAGCATTTCTTCCTTATCGCCATACCCCCTTATTGTCTTACAGCCTTACTCTTTAATAGCCTTATCTCCTTATTGACTTTCTCCCTTAAAGCCTTACCTCCTTGTAGCCTTACCCTTTGTACCCTTATCCCAATATTCTCTTCCATATAGTCTGATCCCCTTATAGCGTTCTCCTCTTATAGCCTACTCTCCCTCACTCTTACTCCCTTATACCCATACCCCCTTATTGTCTTACTGCATTATAGTCTTACCCCTTACAGGCTTACCCCCTTATTGCCTCACTTCCTTATTCCCTTATCCTTTTATACTCTTACCCTCTTATAGCGTGACCCCTTTATAGCATTATTCGCTTATTGCCTTACTTCATTATAGCTTTAGCCCCCTATAGTGTTCCCTACTTATAGTCTTGGCGCCGTATAGCCTTATCTTCTTGTTGCCTTACTCCCTTAAAGCCTTACCCCCTATTGCCTTTCTCCTTTAAAGCCTTACCTTCTTATAGCCTTACTTGATCTTTGACTTGAGACAGAGAAACACACTGAACATTACATATATAGATTGCCTTACTCCCTTCAGCGCTTATGGATGTTCCAATATAATAGCCCTTGTGTAGACTTATGGCTACCCCCCACCCCCTCCATAGGATGGTCATGGAGGACTTATGAGTGCCCCAATATAGTGACCCTTGAGAGCTATGGGTACCCCTATTGGATGACCGTTAAGGGCCTAAGGGTAGGGTACTCCCATACAATGCCGCTTGAGGACCTATGGGTACTTCCATATAATAGCTCTTGGGAAGACCTATGGGTACCTCCTATGATGATCCTTGAGGACCTATGAGTACCTCAATATAATAGCCCTTGAGATCTATGGGTACCCTATATAATGGCCCTTGGACCTTCCTCCTTGTAGCCTTATTTGACCTCTGACCTTTAACCAGGCACAGAAAAACACACAGACAGACATTGAACATTATATATATAGATGATTTTCTTTATTCGTTCATTTTCTCGTGGCAGCAGAGACAACCACCGATTAAAAGCAGAAGTAAGTGCTTGAATCAAACGAAAAGTGAAGAGAGATCGAACGACAACAACAACCAAAGCAAATAAAAACATCTAGAAAAAATTTTTAGCATACTACTTACATACAAGTGATTTTATTTTGTTCATTTACAAAACATAACGCATACTATAGACAAAACGAAAAAGCCGATAAAAACGACTGCTGCTACCACGCTATCTGAACCTACGGGCATTAGGGAACGACGACCACCCCATGCACGTATGGTTCAGAACTTCGTTTTGGTATGGCTCGATGCCAATATCGATGATACGAACAACAGCGATTATATGAATATTATCAACAAATTAAGGAAAGTAGTGAACAAAATACATTCCTTCACTGATGTGAACGAATGCATCGATTTTGTAACTGATATTCACGAAGAGAAAATATTTATGGTCTTTTCTCATGCGTTCGCGCAAACAACTCTTCCTATTGTTCATGAAATTCCACAAATCCATAGCATCTATATTTTAAGTGAAAACCAAGCTGAGCAAGAAGGTTGGGTCAAACAAGGGCCAAAAATAAAAGGGGTGTTTACCGATATTGCTCCGCTTTGTAAATCTCTTAAACAAGCCGCACAAGAGTGTGATCAAAACATGATATCGATCAGTTTTGTCACCACTGACAGTGGTTCTACCCAGCAAAACCTCAATCAATTAGATTCTTCATTTATGTATACACAAATAATAAAGGAAATTTTACTAACCATCGATTTCAACCAACAGCATATTGATAAATTTGTTACATACTGTCGCGACGTTTTCGCAGATAATCCGTATGAATTACAATATGTCAACAAACTCGAGCATGAATACCGAAAGCATCAACCAATTTGGTGGTATACCAACCCATCTTTTTTATATTCCATGCTGAATCGGTCACTAAAAATGATGGAAATCAATCTCATCATAAGCATGGGATTTTTTATTCACGATCTACACAATCACATCGTCGACCTTCATGCTCAACAGCTTGCTAGACGTTCGGTTGCGGAATCATTTACTGTGTATCGTGGTCAAGGACTGTTAAAAGCTGACTTTGATCGAATGCTGAAGACACAAGGTGGACTATTATCATTCAACAATTTTTTATCGACTAGTATGGACCGTGAAGTATCTCTTGCCTTCGCTGAGAGTAACCAAACTGATCACGACCTGATAGGTGTTCTCTTTGCAATAACTATCAGTCCATCAATATCTGATACTGCTTTCGCAAACGTTCATGAAGTCAGCTACTTCAAAGTAGAAGATGAGATTCTCTTCTCAATGCATTCCGTTTTCCGGATTGGACCAATAATACAAATCGATGGAAATAATCGTCTTTGGAAAGTCGAATTAACGTTAACTAGTGACAATGACCCGGATTTGCATACGCTTACTGAACAAATGCGAGAAGAAACTAAAGGACCGACAGGATGGCTTCGACTAGGAAAATTGCTGGTAGATTTAGCACAGTATAACGAAGCGGAAGACTTATACGTAGTATTACTTGTTGAAAGTACGAAAGACGACGAGAGAGCAATTATCCTTTATCACCTCGGACTGGTCAACCTTCGCCAAGGAAGATATGCGGATGCGCTGACATTTTATGAAAAATCGCTGAAAATTCATCAAACAAATCCTTCATTGCAATATTCTACGATGGCTGCCTGTTACAACGACGTTGGCATCGTTCATCAGCATCTAGGTAACCATTCGAATGCACTCTCATCTCATCAAAAAGCGCACGAAATCTACGAAAGAACACTACCTTCCAATCATCCTCAACTAGCTACCTCGTATGGCAATATTGGTTTGGTGTATGGGAACATGGGTGAGTATTCGAATGCGCTTTCATATCATCAAAAAGCATTGGAAATTGACCAACAAGCTCTTCCTTCAAATCATCCGAGTTTGACGGCTTCTTACAATAACATTGGTTCGGTATACAATAAAATGGGCGACTATTCGACTGCACTTACAGCTCATCAAAAAGCACTGGAAATTGCCCGAAAAACACTTCCTTCAGATCATCCAAGTTTGGCGGCTTCTTACAACAACATTGGTTCGGTGTACAATAAAACGGGAGACTATTCTACTGCACTTTCATCTCATCAACAAGCACTGGAAATTTACCAAAAATCTCTCCCTTCTAATCATCCAGGTTTAGCTACTTCTTATAACAACATTGGTTTAGTGTATGCGAACATGAGTGACTATCGAAATGCACTGTCATCTCATCAAAAAGCACTGGAAATTCGCCAAAAAAC